TTTTTCAAATTCACAGCCTCGTATCTTTTTGAGTTTTTGAGATATACACTTGGAGGCCAGGATGAGTTGTAACATATACACTCCTCTTCAAAACAACACTTGGTTCACTCGGATCGGATAATTAGTCTCTGAGATATGATCCCGTTTATGGACACGTGTCGAATCCGGAAAGTCGAAAATCGTGGGTTCATTTTGCGCGTGCGGGGCTCTTATCTATGGCGTAAAAGTGCCTCTGGTGGTAATAGAGTATACGTAAAGCAGCATTATGTCGATGAATGTAGGCGCAGCTGGCATAATGTTTACATGCCGACAAAAGATGCATCAGCGTCTCTGGTTGCATTCGGCATGCCCTGCAGAGAGTATCTGCTACCCCCACACCCATCACCATTCGGCGGTACACAAGTGTGTTTACCACACCATCTTGGCACGGTAAGATGAAACCCTCGGTTTCAGACTTTAGTCCAGCCGACCGTAGAAAGGCGAACGTCAGGTCTTTTGACAAGCCCACTTTTTCTACATTTTTGAAGAAGGCCCCATGCATGAGTTTATCTGCATGTTGCTTGAGCAACAAAGTTTGCTCAACATTCTTAACAGTGCCTTGAATTGATCTGACGTCAGTGTCAAGAGGGGCAACTGTTTTCGCCGTCCATCTGAGCTGATGTCAAAGTCAAATCCGAGGTCGTTTGCTGCTCTCTTTGCCGCCAGAAATATAAACGCCCTTACACCCGCAGACTCGTGCGAACATACGAATGTCAAGATGGGATCAGAGCTACTAACGATGGAATGAGCTGTGCCCAGAACTATCCTGTTGTGAAGATTCTCCAGACCCAAGAAACCTCTACTGCCAAGATGACGCGGGAGGTATATGCGTTGGACGGAAGATTTGGGGTGAAAACTTCGGTGCATGGTCATCATATTTCTGGTGGCCCTGTCCACATTTTTCAAATCTTTAACTGTCGACTTCATTGCTTCAAATAAAAATAATAATAATAATAATTATTATTATTATTTTTGCAGTATAATTTCATGCTTCCATGTGTCTATCTCGACTTTTGAACCTGTAAGTCTATTGAGTGAGAAAATAAACTGGATAATGCACACACATGTGTGTGTTAAGTTGACGGATAGCAAGACTGGAAACGATTTATCCTAAAACAACAAGATATTTCACGTTAGTATATTAGCAACAGAATATATTAAATTAAATTTCAGTTAATAAGACAAATTGAAGAGAAAGATACTTTCAAATCTTACTGAGAAAATCAAGCATGTTTGTATGATCACAGCACGATACTATATTTAAATTACACATGAGATCATCCAAATTTTAGTCTGAAAGCTTAATGGAATCGTTCCACTTGAGAGATATAGGCGTTGACAGAAGGATAATATTAAAATGGGTGTTAAAGAAATACTGGTTGAGGATCTGAATAAGACTAATCCAGCTTACGCTGGGGACACCTGGTGGGCTTTTGTGAATTTGGTGACGAACGTACTGCTACCATAAAAGACGGGAATTTTCTTGACTAGCTGAACGACTGTGAGCTTATCAAGAAGAGCATATGAACTTATCCATCAGGAATTCATGTGTTCCAAAGTTGTTAAAACGGAACATATGAGATGTGTGGTGGAGTGTATTAGCTTCACTGAAGCTTGAGTTATGATTCACTTACTGTTCAAGAATATCCTAAGTCTTCCACATCTTATGCCCAGTGGCCTGTTACGTTTCAATGTAGAACCTTCCGGAAGATCTTCGCCGATTTGATTGGTAATGAATAATGTGGAATAAGATTCCTGAGAGGGTATTCGAACAACACGGTTTTTTACTTAGCTCTGAAATTCTTTTGTAATTATGCGTTAATTTATTCGTAATATCTAAGTTACTTTTATAGCCCAAGTGACTGTAGTCTGCTGTTCTCGTGAATTTCATTTCTGCCGCCGTGGTTCTACTACCATTTCATTTGCATACAGTCCAAGCTCTGCTGCAGCAAGTTACTTTCAATATCTTATGGACAATTAGGGCATTGTCTTAACAAAATGTGACAATTGTTATGCGAACTGCTTCTTAAATTAATATGCTATCGTTATCTTAATGACCGCAAAAAGCCTACTGGAAACTTCGCAGTTTCGTTCATCTATCATTTTAATTGCAGATCTTGAAATTTCCGGGTCGCCTTTGGCTACATTTGGGCAATAAGGCAGTCTTTCGTTGTAGCAGATACCTGAATTAATCTTCTATATTATTTTTAGTCTGCAAACAACATTCAAACCAAATAATGTTACTTATTTCATGTCAGTATTTTCTCTATTACTTGTTTTGTGCCACTTTGCCGATTCCTCAGATAGAACTACTTATCACGTACTGTGCTGACGTTATTATAGTTTTCTTACTACACGTAACAAAACATTTGTCGCAGTCTGTTGATATAATCAGAGTTGCTAATATTTATCGTACCATCGTAATATGGCACAATTAAGTGTTAGTAAAAATATGTTTTCAGTACATAATGTGGCAGGTTAAAAGACGACAGACACATAGAAATATATAAATATAAAACCGTAAGATGATTAAATAAAATATTACACATTATCTATTAATAGTGAGCATATGTAATGTAGAAATCTAAAAATGAATAAAACATTTTTGATAAATGACGTGTCATAAGTGTTTATATACTATACTGGGTATTTATAGTATATTAGATATTATGGTGCTGCTTATTTGATAGAATCAATATGTATTTATAAAGCTTTGTTTCTCTTCCTGGAGTATAAGTGTTTTTTTTATATTTAGTCTAACTAACAATTTCGCATTGTCTATGAATCCATTTCCACATGGCATTGAAGTAATATAAATTGACGCAAATAGTCGAGATGTATTTAAAATTTCACTTTCCAAAATGATATACTGTTACTAGATAAACAAAATTAGACACTTATTTTTGTTTGCAAGCTCAGCGAATACTTTCTTCTGTCTGGAAGTACCTACATTTTTGAGTAAATATTTTC